TAAATACTGGAATGCTCCAGGGTTCAGTCCTCACCTCTTCAGAAGCTACATTTCTCTCACAGGTGATCCCACCCAGCCTCAAGACTTTAAATAGTATTCCATCTGACAAAGACTATAGTTTCAGGGATCATTTCTATAGTTAGTTACATCTGACAAGTCCCAAAATTACTGTGCAGGTGTCTCCCCTGAATTCCATACTTGTATATCCAACCAACATTTTAATCAGTCTTCTTAGATATCTAATAGGCATTTCCAACTCCTAATCTCCATGCCATCTGCCTCCCAACTGTTCCTTCCACAATCTTGACCTCAGTAAATCAAAGCTCTATTCTCCAAATTACTAATAAGGTTGAAAAACATTACAGACTCCTCTCCTTCCTTCACACTCTACAACAGACCCATTAACAACACTTTTGAGTTTACTTTCAACATCTATATACAAACTAACCACTTCTCAAATCCTCCATTGCCATAACCTGAAGGAAGCCACCATCTCCACTAGCCTAACAGGTCTCCCTGCTCTGGCTCACATTCTTAAGACAATGGTAGAGTCATCATTTTGGTCTCAGAGCCTTTCAATGGTGAGCCCTTCCCACTCCTTAATGGCCCAGGGCCTTCCCGTGGCTTTCAAGGCCCTGCCTGAGCCAGTTTCCCATTCCCTCAGGGATCCTCTTACCCTGTTTCTTTCAAGGGCTCTGCTCCAGTCTCATTGTTTATTCTAGGAAATGCCAAACAAGTTTAGGACCTTTTGTCTTTGCTATTACCTTTTCCCCAAACAGTCTTATCCTGGAATCTACAAGGCTGGCTTCCTTTTTCCCTCAAGTATCTACTCAAATATTGTTACTAAGTGAGGCTTTCCCTGACACCCTCTGCAAAATATAACACCACCTGATCATGTTCCCTTCATTCTTTTTTTTTTTTTTTTGGGGGGGGCAGGGGGAGGTACCAGGCATTAAACTCAGGGGCACTTGACCATGAGCCACATCCCCAGCCCTATTTTGTATTTTATTTAGAGACAGGGTCTCATTGAGTTGCTTAGCCCCTCGCTTTTGCTGAGGCTGGCTTTGAACTTGCAATCCTCCTGCCTCAACCTCCTCAGCTGCTGGGATTATGGGCATGTGCCACAGCATTGGCTCCCTTCATTCTTTAACCTGTTTTTATTTTTTCCAAATCATATATTAACCTCTGACATACTAAATATTGAATTTTAAAATTTGCTTCCTGGATCTTCTCACTAGATGTAGACTCTACCCCAGTGCTTTGCATACATTTTATTGTTATCTTCTTGAAGCTTTCTTCTCTTGGTTTCTAGGTCACATTTGCTTTCACTCTCCTATTATCTCACTAGCTAGTTCTTTTCTGTTTCATGCTGGTAAATAAAAAGGGGAGGGAAGGTGTAACATACATCTTAGGAAGATAAAAGGTCTTCTATGCTAAGCTGGGTGGGACCTGTTGCAGCATGATCACCCGACAACCATTTACTTTCTAGGGAGCAAGATATTTAGCACCCAGTGAAAGCTCAGAACTTGTGTTCTGTGTGTACAGATGAGACACCTGCAGTATAACAGCCAATGTATGAAAATACATTACCTTTGTCCTACTAGAAAGAAAAATTACTTCCTTACAGAATTTTCAAATTTATCTTTTATTGCTTTGACCAATGGAAAAAATAAAATTGAGGGATGGGATTGTAGGTCAGTGGTAGAGCGCTTGCCTTGCATGTGTGAGGTACTGACTTCGATCTTCAGCACCACATAAAAATAAAATAAATAAAATAAAGATATTGTGTCCATCTACAACTAAAATAAAAAATAAAATATAAAATTGATTTCACCATATAGTTATAAGAACTACGAATGAATTTCTAAAATGATTTATTTTATGAAATGATTAGGTAGCTTCTAATATATCTGGTCATGAATAATAGATAAAATTATAATAAGAACGGGGAAAATTAACATTTTTCTACCACAAAAACAAGGTTGACTAAATTTAAAGAATATTGAAAAGTGTTCCTGATGAAAAGAAACAGCATTTTCCCCCATTAAACAAAAATTATGTTTTGGACTGAGCTTCTATACTATGATCCAACAGGTCAGACCACCAAACCAAAATGGAGTCCCTTAAGCTAAATAATCAAATGGAAACTTTAAGAATGTTATTAAAAACAGGCTAGTTTTTCCTGAAAATAGATTTTAGTTTACATGAGTCAGTATAATAAGGAAGTCACCCTTATTTTGACCTTTACTAAAAAGTGAATAGCAGTAATCTGACATTAACCAATCAGGTTTTTTTTCCTATTATTTTTGTTTCCTTGTTACACCTTATAAAACCAACTCTACCCAAGGTACAGTGGTGCTTGTCTGTAATCTCAATGATTCAAGAGGCTGAGGGAGGAGGATTGCAAGTTTGAGGCCAGGCTTGGCAACCCAGTAAGACTGTGTCTCAAAATTAAAAAGAAAAAGGGTTGGGGATATAACTCAGTGGTGAAGTGCCCTTAGGTTCAATTTCTGGTACCAAACAAACACCACACACACTTACTCTTTTGCTTTTTTCCAAGGAGAACTTTTATTCTATTTTGTAGAATGGAAGCTGTCCAATTCATTAATCACAAATAAACTCCTATTCTACCTATAATTAAATTAGTTGCAATCTTGTCTTTTGACACTTCTAAATGTTGTTCTTGGCTAAACTTTTAAGGAATGAACAAAGAATTGTCAGATTAGAGAAAAATATAAGTAGAAATAACAACTTAATATGTTCAACATGCAAACCTAGACTATATCTTAGACTAGGGAAAAAAAATTGGAAAAATTGATGAAGTCCAAATAAAGTCTATAATTTCATTAAAAAGCAAGCAAGCAAACAAACAAAAACCACCAAAACAGAATATCTCCATTCAGAACATGAAATCCTTTCTCAGCATTTTGCGCATATCTTCTGTGTTAGTATCTACTCAACCTGAAAGTTCTATACCAGTCAAGACACACCCTTCCAAGACTGAATAACTTTTATTGTTAGAAGGTTCTTCCTTGTATTTTGTGGTGTCACATTCCTTATAACTTAATGCACTTCAGTTCTTCATTCAAGAACTATATATATTATAGTCTAAATCCTCTTTTACTTGACCATCACATATTCTACATTCTGCCTCAAGTTTCTTTTTCAAACTTAACATATTCTGTTCCCTTCTATGATTTTTACCCAAACATAATTTTTTGGGGGGGTAAGTTTTGGTTTTTTTCCAACCATGGTTTTTACAACCATTATCATTACTGTCACACATTTTTAAAATCTGGTTTGTCAAATGACCTTAAATATCAATGCTCAAAACCAAACATTAGTATAGAGAATTTCAAACCATTTATCTTCTTGTTCTGGACACTATGCTCTGTGCCCAAAACTGTCCTCCTCTTTTAGCAGTTATATCACATTATTGGTTGTGAATGAATTCTCAAATCAACAGTTCCATAGTCTTTTCTATATAGAATATTCCAATGAAGGAACTGTCAGGATGGGAGACCATCACCCTATTCTAGTCTCTTAATAACAAATAATTTGAATGCTAACTATGTGCCAGACAATTGCAATTCTATGTCTACCTGTGCTTGACTTTTGATGATCTGAATGTTTGTATCTCCCTCAGTCCATATGCTGAAATCCTAACCACCACAATCATGGAATTAGGAGGAGGAATTTTGGGAGTTGATTATGTTATGAGGGAAGAGTCCTTATGAATAAGAGTAATGCTTTTATGAAAGTGATCCCAGAGAGATTACTGGCTTTTTCCCCCAGGAGACATTACAAAGAAAAGACCACTGTGCAGGAAGTAAGTCTAACCAGACATGGATTCTGCCCAGGCCTTCATCTTGGCTTTCCAATCATCCAGAACTGTTAGAAATAAATTTCTGGGGTTGGGGTTGTAGCTCAGTGGTACAGCGCTTGCCTAGCATGTGTGAGGCACTGGGCTCGATCACTGGCACCACATTAAAAAAATAAAATAAAAAAAAATAAAGATATTGTCCATCTACAACTAAAAAAAAATAAAAATAAAAAAGAAATAAATTTCTGTTGTTTATTAGGCACCAAATTGATAGCATTTTGTTATAATGGCCCCAGTGGACTAAGACAATGTTCCAAATCTTATCAAAGAACTAATTTCATAAATACTTATAAAAGGCTGAACTAACAGAAATTATACAAAGTAATCCCATATCATTATCCAACTAATAAACCTAAAGTCTTGTACAACAGCCTCTTGAGGGTAAATTATCGCTATAAATCTATTTGCCCATACTTATGTGGGATTATTCAATGTTTTCTCAGTCCTGTGAACTTTTATTTATTTTTGCTCCTATCAGAATCATACTGGCAGGTGGTAAAATTAGATGTACATAGTATCCTATGCATCTCAATTGAGAAAGCCACCTGGTCACATACACACATTTTAAACCTGTCCTGCACCACCTTCAGAAAACCAAGCGTCAGATCTGAGTTTTCCAATAGCTTTTCCAGGGCTGGAGTCATCTATGATCAAAGCCAACTCATTACTTCCTTACATCTGGACATAATCAATCTATTTTCTGACCTCTCACCCTCAACATGCCCAAATCCCTTTGAAGTCAAAGCATTAGTCATTTTTGTCAGGTGTAAAAAACATTCATAGCATGTGCACTTCGATGCTCTGATGTCCACAATGTGTAAAATCTGAAACATTCAAAGATCGCTTAAATCCCTACAGTTGCAGAAAGGGCCTTGATTTAAAAATAAATAAATAAACATTTGCAAGGCAGTTTCCCCATATTTATTTGTCTCTTTGAGGACAGAGGGTTCCTAACTCAGAAACGGGATGCCACCAACACTGGGTCACCTCACACAACCCCTAAAACCAAACCCAGAGAGGCGGCTGGCAGGCCTGGAGCTAGGGCAGGCGCTGACTCCCCAGGGAGTGACAGCACCTGCAGAGACCCCCACACCCTGCCCACCCCGCGACCCCTTACCTCTCTTGTCCAGGAGCCACATGAACGCGAAGCAGGGTAGGAAGCCAATGGGCCCCCACAGCACAAGCAGCGCGATGTCCCAGCTGGAGAAGCCATAGGCCTGGCGCGCCGAGTTCTGGATAGGGCCCCAGGTGTTCCAAACCAGGCCCTGCGCGAACGCCAGCAGCGAGAAGAGCAGCAGCACCAGCCAACGGCGCCCATACACCCGTCCCGGACCGGGGCCAGCCGCGGGCAGCGCCACCGCCGCCGCCGCCGCCGCCTCCCGGCTCCTGCGCGCAGCCCCGGGTCCAGGCCCGAGCCCGGGCCCCAGTAGCGGCTGCCGCTCCTCTTCGCTACTCCAGCCTGCGCCCATGGCCACGCCGCCCGCCGGCCCCTGCCCAGAGCAGACTCGGTGGCCGCCTACCAGCCCACTCAGACCCGGCGGGAGGAGCCCCAGTCGGAGCTGCTGTGGTTGCCCTCGGCCTCCCGGCCGCGCCTGGTGCGCCTGCGCCACCCGAGCGGGTGGGTGGGGAGGCGGGGGGGAGGCTGAGGTCCGCCCCGCCCTCAGGCACTGTGAGCAAACACCAGCGCGTGGAAGAGCTGGGGTCGCAAAGAGAGGACCGGGAGGAATTGTAAAGGCAGTGAGGAGCGCGGCTGGCCCGGCTGAGGGAAACTCCCAGGGAGACTGCAGTAGAGGAGGTTAGGCAAGCCACCCGGGGGTTGCTGGAGGAAGTGCCCAAGTTTGCATCATGTGCCTAATAAACAACTCGGTGACCTCAGGCCACTTAACCTAATGCTTGCTACTATATTGGGTTTAGTTTTATTTGGTTTATAACTTCAGAAATTATGGGGGGGGGATTGATGGAATAAGATCGATCGAAGTGTAGGAGCGTGCCAGGGGATTGTGTTACAAAAATGATATCTTGTGCCTTTGTTTTTGTAAATAAGTACTACCTAGTATAATGTGTCACCTTTTTTTCTTACATATCCAATGCCACATGTAATATTTTTACCCATTTTGTCTATCACTTAATAGACGAACAGTAAGATTGTGTTAAGGTTGTAAGATTTCTGCCCCAAAGTGACCTAGATCCATCTTCGGTTATGATTTCGACCAGACTAGGGGTAAACAAGGAAAAAACTGGGGGTTGTTGATCTCTTGGCCAGGCATCCACTTGTTTGTTTTGATATATAAATCCAGAAGCCTGTCAGCTGTCAGTGTCCTTAAGAACTCAAGTGGAGCAATTTGGCTTGTCTGGATCAGGAAATGAGTCACAGGGAGAGCAATCAAAGGACACTCTGCCCGAGGTTCGTATTCCGGCAGTCACAAAAACTGGATGGTCACGCTGCCGCCAGAAGGGACAGAGAAGTGAAAGACAGTCACTGTGCTGGTCTCCACGGCTGGTCAGAGTGGCTGCAGGGACAGCGAACGCACAGACCAGGCCCACCGCCAGGAGCCCCGCAAAACAACAAACCACCCCCTAGGACTCCAATCCTGTGGGGTGGGGAAAAGCCAAGGAAGGATCTGACTAGAGAACGAAAGACTAAGCGAAAGAAGCTAAGGTCTGGAGAATGTGAGAAGCGCCACAACTCAAACCACGCATTCGGTGCTGGGGACCAAAACAAACCCGTGTGGCCCCGCCCAGAGCTGGTCACGTGAGGCCGCGGCGGCAGCGGCGGTTCCGGCGAAGCTGGTGGAGCAGCTGCGATTCCTTCCTGTGGTGCTGCTGTGGACCCCCGGCGGGCGCTGCGCGGACTCCACTGCACGTTCACTCCATTGGGTTCTGGCGGAGCAGAGGCCGCCTCGCGCTCTCCATGGCAGCGGGCTCAGAGGTGAGCTCTCGCCTTACCCTGGAAGCTACAGCTGCAGGGAACCAAGGTAGGTGCCTGACTGAGGTCATACCCTAAATGCAAACCCGGTCCCTAGGGATCCACCGACCGGGCTCCTCTCGTGTGGCCCTTTGAGATTAGCTCCATCCCAGGTCTCTCCCGCCTTGCGTTCAATTATGAAGAACTTGTTTTCATAAATGGGAGTTTTCGCAAATAGTGGTATCCAGATATTTGATCGTTATACAGAAATCCTAGGGCAGTGCTGTTGCACGCACAAGGGCGTTCTAATGTTAGAGTGGACTAAAATTTGTGAAACTGGAGGTAAGGGGAAACAGTGTGGGACTTTTCTGAACAGGGATCATGGGCTTTTTATTCGTTATCCGTGGAACATTGGTTTAGTGAATGGGTGAAGTTTTCTGGCCCAGGAGCTGGAGTTTCCTGTTAGCATTTAATGGGCCCTGTTGCATGGGCCCTTTCTGCATACTGCCACGGGATCCAGAAACTTTTAAATGTTTATAACAGACCCTATCCCGAGAACTCACAGTGAATAAAGGAACCTGGAAAGAAAAAAAAGAATGACTAATAAGTGGTCTCATTAATGCTACCCATAGAACACACTCACTCAGTGACAGTTGTCACCATGAGGAGGGATCCCAGTGGGAAAAACAAAAATACTTCAAGGAGGGAATAGTTTGAGGTGAATGTTTATGATTGGACAGGATAGTGACAAACTCTGGTGCTGGTGCTGGGAGCTCTGGAAAACAGGGAGCAGAAAAACACAAGATGGATGTATTTGCAGATCACATAGTTTACCCAGAGGTGTAGATGCCCATTCTCAGCTGAAGGAATAAATTATAACCTCCTTCTCTCTGACTTCTTTCTCCTGCCTTTATAGCTCATTTGCTTATGTACTCCGGGGAGACAATTCTTGAACTTCAGTTATACCTCCAGTCCATTGACCCTTCCATTTTTATACACTGCACTCTGACCATTTTTGAGGGCATGTCATAGTTTATCATTATGAGTTCTTTCTTGAAAATACACTATTCTCTTGGCCCTCCCTGCATTTTATTCTGACAAAATTTACACTGAATGAACGCACCCTTTTGCACTCTCTGTATCTACACCTGTCTAGCTGAACATTGCTGGAAAAATTCTGCATGGACCTGTGGATGTAGCTCCAAGGCAGAGCACTTGCCTACCATAGGGGAGACCCTGAGTTCCATCCCCAGCACCAGTTGATGGCAGTATAAAAGGAGAATGCTTAAGCTCTTGAATATTCTTTCAGGATGGACCTGAGATTCTTCTGATGCTCTTTTCTAACTTTCTCCTTTGACAGTTTCCTCAATTTTAACTCCTTTTGCCATCTCTTTCATGTTTATAACTCTGTAATTCAGCTAATGACCTTTTAAGTCAGGACAGTTCTTCATCTAGTCTATCTTCCTTTTTTATCCTCCTGCATCATCAGATCCTAGATCAAATCATCTATATTTTTTACCTAAACCCCTAGTATATCTTCCTGACTAGTGTCCCTGTTTCCTATCTTGTGCCCCTCCAATTCCTTCTCTGTTCCACAGCTGACATTTTTTTTAAGGAAGAGAAGGATGTGGCTCAGTGATAAAAGGCTTGCCTAGCATGTTCAAGGTCTTAAGTTTGATCCCTAGCATAACCAAAAAACAAAATGTGACACTCGCTTACTTAAATATTTTGAATTAATTTCATTGCACTTAGAACCTAGAATAAATGTCAAATTTCTAACTACGCCCTACAAAAATGTTTAGTTTAGATTCTGCCAACTTTCACTCACCTCTTCCTACTTTTCACATAGCTGACTTCTTCAGGTGTCAGAGTATGTCAGCACCTGAGTCCTTTCCAGACCAATCTATCTAAAACAGTCTGTGGGTGTCCCCAATCTCCACGCCCCTAGATATTTTATAATGCAGCATCTATTTCATCATTTTACTATTACCATCTGTAATTACTTTTTTATTCCATTTGACCTTGAATACTTAAGGGCAGGACCTATATCTGCTTCATTCATCACCGTGTGCCCAGTAACAGGTAAAGTATCGGGATATAATATTTTGTTGAGTGAATGAGTAAGAGATCTCTGTGCCAAGTCTAGAGACAAGAGGAGAAACCATGTTGACATAATCCAGGAATCAAAAGAGGTTGCTATGAGAAGTGGTGAGAAAAGAGGGATCCCAAAGGTCACATTATACCGTTTAAGAAGCCTGACCTTTAAAACAGCAGGAAGCCTTTGAAGAGGTTTAGTTAGGGGAGTAATGTGATCAGCTGTGGTTTTAGGAAGATCCCTCTGGCTGAAGGGTTGCAGAAGAAATTGTAGGGAGAAAGACTGAAGAACAAAGTATTTAATCCCTCAGTGCCTCAGTTTCCTCTTCTATGAAATGCATGATAATTGTGAAAATTGAAGAAGATATATGTTCATCCAGCATAGTATCTGGCAGGATTAAATATTCAAGAATGGTAACAATTTTTATTAGTAATAGACAGTGCTAGCCTTGGTGACCAATAGGAAATTGGGAGGAAAAAAGAGAAACTAGGTGTAAGTTTGGAAGCTGAAAAACAGCAGGTAGTTGGAAGCAATGTTGAGTTTTAATGTGAATGCATAGAGTGTAAGTACGGGATGATGATGCAGAAGAAGGTCAGGTACACAGATGGGAAAGAGGAGGTTTGGTGTTTGTTTTTGTTTTTTTTTTTTAATGTGTAGTATGCAGGTATCATAAAATTCACCATTTTATAGCTTATAATACAATCCAGTGGTGTTTAGTGTGTTCACAAGGTTGTATAACCATCACTATTTTAATTTCAAAACATTTTCATCACCTCCAGAAGAAACATGGTCCCCATTAGCAGTCACTGCTCACTACCCCTTTTCCCCAGTCCAAGGTAACCATGATCTCTCTTTCTCTATGTATTTGACTATTCTGGACATTTTATGTAAATGGAATCATACCATACATGGCATTTTGTGTCTGACTTCTTTCCTGTAACATCTATGTTGTACAATGTATCAATACTTAATTTTCTTTTTCTAGCTGAACAATATTCCATTGTATAGATCTATCACATTTTGCTTATACATTCATCAGTTGATTGCCTTTAGAATTATTTATTATCTATTGTGAATAATGTTTTTTATCCTGAATAATGCTACTATGAACATCCAGGTACAAGTTTTGTTGTTGTTGGAAAAAATTTGATGAAAAAAACACAGCATGCATACACATTTGTGCAGGTAACTTCAAATTTTGTGTTAAAGGGTCATCTGAATCTGTCTATGGAACTTTTAATCCTATTTTAAAATGTCATCCTCTCCAGCAACACCACTTTAGAGTGACCCTGCCTATTATCATTAAAAACTAAGTTAATGGCAAAATGCTCCTATAAGAGAAGGCTTTGCCTTCAATTATGTACTGCTGATGTGAACAGAAGGTAAGAAAAATACATTTGTTAAGTAAATGCAAGTGAAAGGGTTAGTACCTTTAGCACAATGATGACTCTATTGAGACTCATAGAAAAGTTCATTTTTAAGCAAACTTATTACTACTTTATTATCATAAAATATATGAATGCATACTGTAAACAAGGGACTTTCATGCAGTGAGGCAGAAGACAGTCTTTGCCTTAAAAGAGCTTATAACTGTTATAAATATCACTTTTGGTGGGAAAGAG